CCAAATATGGGTCCTTTGATTATCGGACCAAATTCAGAAATACCTGAAGCTGAATCGATTAAATATTTAGGTATTGTAATTGACCGACACCTCAAGTGGGACCTCAACATAAGAAATATAGTCAACAAGTTAAGAGGTATGTTATATAGATTTAAATATCTGAAAGATTACCTCGATACGAAACACCTAGAAATATTATACTACGCACTGGTTCAATCTCATCTAACTTACGGTATTGTGGGCTGGGGTGGTGTAAATGACACGCACTTAGAAAACTTAAACGTCATTCAGAGATGGATATTACGAATTATATACGGTAAACCACTCAGATTCTCCAATGATAAATTACATGAAGAATCGGGAATATTTGACAGTAGGCAACTTTTCTGTCAAAATATACTAATCAACATAAAAAAAAAACAAGATCTCTTCCCACCCTGTTACACACTCCTACAGCACAAGAAATAAAACAATATCGTTAAGCGTACCTCGTTGTGACAAAACCATAGGGCAACGTCACTGTGACTTTCTTGCACCAAAACTTTATAGTCTAACACCTGTTGATATAAGGAACTTACAGAGCATCAATTTATTCAAGAAAAAAATAAAAAAATGGAATTTGGCTTTTGGAAGGAGCAAACTACACGATTTTGTCAATCAAAAACTAAATTAATATATGGTTAGGTATTTTATACTCTTCAATCAAAACAATGAATGGTCTACTTATTATTTCTATTAGTAATATAATTTATACTCATGTTCTCTCGTGTTAATTGTATAAGTCTGAATACATCTATATATGTACGTATGCGAATATCTCTCAATTAGTTACTCGAATTTTTATATTCTGATATTTTTATATTTTATATTTGTACATTTTAGATTTTTAAACTTTTCCCTTTTAGCACTTTACATTTTACATTTTACATTTTTATAATTTTACATTTTACATTTTTACATTTTTACATTTTACATTTTTAAATTTTCATATCTTCACATTTTATATCTATATATTTTATATTTTCAAATTATTTCATAACGAATCATCTTCAACTAGTTATGTAATGATCACCTACTAAAATTGATGGAACATACAACAACATGAAGCCACGTACAAGCGATAGTTACTTTGGAACTAAAGCTTCTGTGGTATCCCCTGTTTATTTGCTGTACGCACTTTAATCATATATACCCTTTTTTGTAATTATTTTCTTGGTGAATAAACTTTATTATTATTATTATTATTATTTCATTGAAAGACCGCATGTTCAACTTTACCATTCGGTTTACTCTAGTTTTATTGTTAGCTATGCCAGAAATTTCCATTACATACTTTTGAGCTGATATTCCCAATTTTTTTAATATTCTTGAAGTTATAAAAGTGGTCTGCGATGCAGAATCTAATAATGCGCGGGCTATAACCTTGTTGCCGTTTTCAGCAACCAATAAAACTTTCGCTGTGGCTAAAAGTACTTGTGAATTATTTTGTGATATCATACAAGCATTTTCTATAGTGGGTTGAGATTGAGCATGATTTTCAGAAATATTTGTGGTCAGAACAGTCTCCTTGTTGTGAGAAGAAATACCTGAGGATACAAATTGATCATAGTCATTATTAAAAGATCTGGTTTCTGAATTACCAGAACTTCTTGGTATTGCATAACATTCATGTAGCAGTGTGTGATGTTTTTCGTTACAAAATCTACACTTGAAAGATGTACATTGTGCCACCGAATGTTTAGAACCAAAACAGTTCAAACAAAGACTGTTTTTAATGACAAATTGCTTACGGTCAGCTGCGGGTGCTTTTGCAAATTTGAAGCACTTATAGATTGTATGATTTTTTAATTTACAGAACAAACAACTTTGAGAGTTTGCTGAGGTGTGTGGTGTATGATTTGGAATGGGTTTAGTTTCATTCGCAATATGAGAATACCGAGTAAACTTAGGTTTAATTTCAATGCTAGAGCTAGTTGATAATGCTTCCATTGTGGAGCAGCGTTTTTCCAAGAAATTAAGGAAATCTTCTAAATTAGGGAGCACATCAGCATCTCTCTCATGTTCAAACAATTGTCTTGTTTGATAATCTAAATTTTTTGTATAAATGAATATCAATAGTAAGTCCCAATTTTCTACTGGAACCTGGAGTGCTTTCAAAGAATTCAAATGTTTATTTATCTGGTTAATAAATTGTCTCAATAAACCACTATTATTTTTGGTTATTTGGGGGACTTCAAGAAGTCCTTTTATATGAGCGTTTATTATCAACAATTTTTTATCGAAGCGTCTCTTCAGTAAATTGAATGCTACAGAATAATTATCATTGGTGATAGACAAATTGTTAATTATATCCAGTGGTTCATTTTTGAGAGAGGATTTTAAGTACATGAACTTCTGAACATTATTCAACTGAGTATTATCGTCTATTAATGCTGAGAATAAATCTAAAAAAGCAGGCCATTCCTCCATCCTACCTGCAAAGACAGGTATATCTAAACTAGGTAATTTCACCTGAGAACTAGACATGGGCGGGATAGAAGAGTGCATAGATCTATTAGTTTGTGATAAACTGATTCGATTGTATTGTTGTATACGAGATTTGATTTTTGCTAATAAAGTACAATATTTTGTTTCGATCTCTACTCTGTCTGCTTCCTGAGTAGCATCCGCGTCTTCAATTTCATCTTGATATGTAGTATAATCCTCAAAAGCCCTAACAAGCTGAGTTTCCCTTACAGTAAATTCATTTATATCTACATCGGGGTTAAGTTCATTATCAGCGAGAAAATTTTCGATTCTTGTGATAGCGGCTTTGGAGCGACCTCTTCTTCTGATGATAGTCTCCATTTTTTACAAGAACAATACGGGATTTCAATGATAAATTGATCGCACTTCCACTAATTTTCATGAAATGCTATGAATCTGAAGAGTCTACTACTGGAGCAATATATTACGTCGATGCCGTTCAATAAGAGCAAACTGAGGAGAATCGACGAGGTATTTGATTATTATGGAAAGATCTAACCTTTGTCATCCGTCCATGTGTACCATACAATTATTTATGTGGTATGAATCAGCGAGGCGAGATTGCGGGATTCAATTGCAGCTATTCTTCTGCGAGAGTTTCTTGGGGGTGCAACAGGGATGTTGCTATGGGAGTTTTGAATAAGCTGCTTGAGTGTGCAACGGGATTATTTCTCCGACTACTTCTTGGGAATCTTGGGGTGCAACGGGAATATTGCTGCAGAGTCACCAGTCCAATGGATCCGTAAATCGCTCTTCCAAATCCGTGTAGAAGGACCAAAATGTGGGGGATTATTGTTGAGTGGGGTTTTCTTTGAGTAATGGACTGTATTTTTATGTTATTTTATTGAACTGGTCACATACATATCAGATATGATGAGAAAAACTCAGCGAGAATATCTGACAGACAATGTCATAATTAATTTATTGATTCTCTCAAACAAACTATCGAAACCGTAACTAGGTAACAGACAGAGTAATCGAATCTAGATCACTGCTGATACTGATGCCAAATCAACTAAAAAGTAATAATATTTATGGAATTCGAACAGTGTGTTTTCTCAACTTCGACGATAGAGGCATGAAGATGATCTCATTACCTCGAGATGTTTCGCGAATCAACTTCCTATCTCTCTTGTTTACAGGATGATCTCAAAAAATCAACTTTTTGGTTTTGCAGCCATAACTTTTTTCCACGTCAATCGATTTTAGAAATCTTAAGCTCATTCCGAAGATAAAACTTCAGATGAAGAGATCTGAATATCAGAATTGACCCAAGATGGCTATCAGAGATCTCGAGTTTTCTTGAAAGTGACCCAAATCTGGAACGCCCTCCGAATCTCGGTTGGGAGGAGAATTGAATGAAAACCAACTTGTTCTCGGAAAAACAATTCATTCTGGATGCGTCCATATTTTCCTCGCTCTTAGTAGTCAAGAACCGTGCGTGAGAAAACACAATTGAAACATGTTCTTGCAAAAACATCAGACCATTTCTCCTCTGTAATGCATGGCCCGTAACCAACGTTACAAGAATCACAATGGACTGACAAACCCGACCAGCTAAGGCTCATCATGAATGATGTACCAACAACCCTATGCGGTCTCGCATTGTCATCAACGAGAACAAAGTTGTCACCCACATTCGCGTTAGATGCGGCATCGAAACTGTCGAAATCTGTCAGTCACTTACTGTGATTCTTGTAACGTTGGTTACGGGCCATGCATTACAGAGGAGAAATGATCTGATGTTTCTGCAAGAACATGTTTCAATTGTATTTTTTCACGCACTTTCTTGACTACTGAGAGCGAGGAAAATATGGACGCATCCAGAATGAATTGTTTTTCCGAGAACAAGTTGATTTTCATTCAATTCTCCTCCCAATCGAGATTTGGAGGGCGTTTCAAATTTGGGTCACTTTCAAGAAAACTCTAGATCTCTGATAGCCATCTTGAGTCAATTCTGATATTCAGATCTCTTCATCTGAAGTTTTATCTTCAAAATGAGCCTAAGATTTCTAAAATCGGTTGACGTGGAAAAAAGTTATGGCTGCAAAACCAAAAAGTTGATTTTTTGAGATCACTCTGTAAATAAGAGAGATAGGAAGTTGATTCGCGAAACATCTCGAGGTAATGAGATCATCTACATGCCTCTATTGTCGAAGTTGAGAAAAAAAATGTTTTCACCATTTGAGAGCCTTTTGAATATTCCGAAATTTTGCACAGTGTCGGAAAACACCATGTAGAGATTTAATGTGAATACCCTTATGTTTCAATGAAGTACGAGATAATAGCTGAAGAACTGGGCTATCGAACAGTGTGAACCAAATTCAAATTGTTCTGAACTGAAAAAAGTTATTCACATTATAACAGGGACGACATTTTGGTGTGCGACGAAATTAGTGTTGAGTAGTTTATTACGATACGCATTTGGGTTTCATAATGGCATAATCAAAGGGCACAACCGAATAGGTACTCACTTTGAGACTAGCCTGCGCCACGGCCTTGATAATGAAATCGTTGACGCTCAACTTCACCCCGGCCTTCTCCAACCTCTTGTTGTACTTCTCGCGCACGGCCAGCAACTTATCCACGTTGATCTCGGCCGTCAGATAATAGTGCGGGATGGTCTGCTTGGACTGTAGCAGCCGCTTGGCGATGGTCGCTCGCATGCCGGTCACCGGCACGTCGACGTAGGCGGCGCCTGGGGCTGGGGCGGCGGGCGGCGAGTGGGCGGTGGGGGCGGCGTGGGCAGCGGAAGGAGGGGTTGCCCCTGCGGCTGGAAGATCGGACGAGGTAATGGAGCCGAATAGACCGGTGCCATTACCTGCCAGGAAATGTAATGGCTTTTACCTACTATGATTATTCAGGATATTATAGGCGACTGAGATTAAGAGCGTATCGCCAGAACGGCAAATGTCGGTACTACTCTATGGGCCATTGGCGGATTGTTTACATTGTTTGGTAATGGTGTTTATGTTCATTTCGTTTTGAGTTTTCAAACGTTCAGCTTTGTTATTTGTGTATTTTCGAACTTTGTATTTTTCAGTGGTTTATTGTGTTTTGATTGAGGTATCATCTATGTTCAACATGAGATAACCTACCTATGTTGACACTCATATACAGGGTGTTCCTTAATGATATGCTAATATTCAGGGGGCCGATTCTTCGACCCATTTCAAGAATAAAACTTCATATGAACATATGTCGTAAACGGCCTAACTTTTGAGATACAGGGTGTCAATGTTGAAAATATGCATAGATTATTTTTTGTCCACCCTGTATAGCTTTTCGTGATGGCAAAATTCAGTCTGCTATGTGACTGAATCGGTATACAAATTTCGAAATGTTACATACGGTGGTTATCCAGTAATGGATGTCCTGAATGGAGTACTCAAACATCAACATTTGAAGTCTGGTCTCGTTTTTCCGTTTTTTCTCGAAAACGAAACGTTCTATCGAGTATCAACAAGATGATCTTTTTTGTACATAATTAAATAGCCTTTTATAGCATTGTATGAAATTTGAACATATTTCGTCGTTGCTCACTTTTAAGTAAAATATAAACAATAATTTTCCCGTAACGGTGCCACTGATAGAGAAAATGAAAATTTTGGTACATTAGAAAATGCAACTTGATGCATAAAAGACGTGTACCAAATTTCAAAGAGATGTATACAATATTGTCTAAGTTATCATCAAAAAACTGAATATTTTTCAAAACATCATCACCCTGTGTCTCAAAAGTTAAGACTATCAGGACATACGTTCATATGAAGTTTTCTTCTTAAATTGAGTCAGAGAATCACCCTCTCAAATATTAGCATGTCTTTAAGGAACACCCTGTATACCAACATACATAAGCTGTTACTTTTTATCATTATTGAACAAGAATTCTCATGAAAACCTGTGTGGGATGTTGATTTCCAATTCGAATAGATGGCTGGAAAATTCCCCTGATAGCATTATATTTTTAGAAGGAAATCCAGCATACATTTTGGGAATAAAAAAAATAAAAACGTCACAGAAGATTCTGGAATGTTCTGGAAACAATCGATGGAACAATTAGAGAGAGAGGTTTGTTCTAAGAAGCTTCTACATAGAACAAAAAGAAGGAGACGGAAGATCATTCGAGAAGGTTCTCGAACCAAAGCCTGTCTAGTTATCTCATATATAAACGGCCGAATAACTGCCGTCGGGCAGTCAAACAGCGAGTGTCAGAAAGACAGTTATATACCGCGTGTTATAAATCGTTTTACATAAATAGTAGTTATGAGTTCGATATAAATTAGTGTTTCTTTAGTTCAAATAAATCAGTTCGAAAATAAATAGTGTCGTGTTCGCTTCTGAACCCGAATAACGTAACATTATGTATGAGTAAATTGTCAGTAAAGTGTAAAGAACAATCTCTCATATGTTCAGACACTTTTTTTCCTATCCTAAAGTTATGAATCGACACCTCTCTTCTATCGATCACTTCCTTGTTTCCCAACTCAGTTTCAAATACAAATTTGGTTGTCCTGATTCTGGAGAGGTATATGAAAGCTATATTCGGGATTTTTCTGCTCAAGATGAACAATGGGGTACACAACAATAATGATTCATGTTCTTAAACGTTTATCAGAGTTCCACAAGCAAACTGATGTAAACAAAGCAATCAATGGCCCATACGTTAGTTATATTAGAAAACGGTAGAGGGCGTATTCCTTAGCAAGATTCGTCTATAAAAAAAAACGTTTATTGTCCAAACAGGTGAGGCACCCAATTACAGGACATGAATACATTTCATAATCATACATTCATTTTGGTACATTTTACACAAACTTTTATGGTTGATTACTGAAGGATATATTTCTTAGGTAATTTTTAAAACAGCCTGATTTTGTTGAATAAAGATCGATTTTATCACAGACATTATTGAAATTGCTACACATTATATAAACAGGAGATTGTGCCAGTGTTTGTTCTTGATGTTCTAAGATAAAAACATAATTCGTTTCTGTTCCTCATACGAGGTACAAGAAAATTGAGCTGGGCAGTCGACAATATAATGTGTCAGCTTATAAATGAATACGCACGAGTAATAATTTCTTCGGTCTTCCAGCGAGAGAAGTGAAAATCGATTCAATAATATAGAGTTATCTATACCCTGCTCAGGATATACCCCATCGATTTTGTAAACAAGGTACATCATAAATGATCTCTGTACAGATTCGAGGTTTTATTCATGAGTCGAATATACAGGGTGTCTGTAAAAGGTTGGACATGGCTCGGCTGTGGACTCCTGGGATAAAAACAAGTTGATTTAGACCAACTTACCTACAGAGTGACCCATTTGAAAGCGGGCCACCCCTGTATCTCACGTAATCGTTGGGTAAGGATCATGAAATTTGCTGGAGCGAGAGATATACCAAAAATGCACTCTATAACCAAGTGGGGTCATCTTCAGTGGTATACACTGCTCGCCAACAGCCATGGAACCACCCCAATTTCCTGAAAATGATATTAGGAGTAAAAATAGGTTGAAAATCACTTCGGATTCGGAATCAGGACGCCCAATTCAGTAACTATTCATATTTTTCCTTGAAAATTTTCAGTTATGAAACATTACATTTTGTCGCACTTTTCATGGAAGCGCACCTCCGTATCTCACGTAATTATTGTGGTAGGGTTCTAATATTTGCAGGAGGAACGGAAAGTCCAAAGATGAAGTCAATTACGTGAGATACGGGGGTGCTTCCGTGAAAAGTGCGACAAAATTTAATTTTTCAGAACTGAAAATGTTCAAGGAAAAATATGAAGAGTTAGTGAATTGGGCGTCCTGATTCCGAATCCGAAGTGATTTTCAACCTATTTTGACTCCTAATATCATTTTCCGGAAATTGGGGTGGTTCCATGGCTGTTGGCGAGCAGTGTATATCACTGAAGATGACCCCACTTGGTCATAGAGTGCATTTTTGGTATATCTCTCGCTCCAGCAAATTTCATGATCCTTACCCAACGATTACGTGAGATACAGGGGTGGCCCGCTTTCAAATGGGTCACTCTGTATATACAAAATGGTCTCGTTGAGTTGGTACAAGGCGTTGAAGTTTTTTTGAAAAAAAAATTTTGCTCATAAAAAGAGTATGCTGAGATCGATTATCATAATTTTTGGCATGGCATGTTCTGTGACTGTAAGTCACGTTTTGAGATGTTTTTGATCATCATCAGTGACCCGCAAGTGTTTCAAACAACCGTGTTGCCGTACATATTTGGTGATAACTTTTCAGAGGTCGGACTGGAAATTTCCAGGTTTTTTTCCAGAAAGATATTCCCTTCATAAATATTTTTTGTATCGTGTTAATTTTTGATAAGTCTTGAAGTTCATTTGCAAATAAATAATTTCTGATATGATATATATATGATTAGGTATTCCACTTCGTTTGAAGCACGAGAGTTTCTGTAAACTTTCTTGAAAATAATAAAAAAAAGTTCTCCAACTGCGCTCTGGAGTCGGCGCTTCTAACAACTGAGCTATCAACATTATTTCTTAGGAACAGATATTTTATAAATATCATTTCGAAGATTAAACTTCTAATTATTCTTGTTATAAAAAAAAGGAATTCATCAATTCAATGTTGAGTATATATGTTATTTGAAAAATTACCTTCATGAATAAATATTTATCATCGGGAGCATTCTGCAGAAAATAATTGAACTGTTCAGCATTAAGTATATTTGATTTTTTACTTCGGAATCCATCCGATTTCCTTTTGAGGAAAGATATTAACTTGGAATATGTTGCTATATTAATATTGTGATTGATATTCAGTGTTGATCGTAACATGGAATATATCGACTAGAGTGATGATGGTTTCATCGAATTTGATAATTCTTGAAAATATACTAATAGGATATTTTCCGAAAATGACACGGTATTATTTCTAAGTCTCCAGTCCATGAATTTTTGATGTGCTATTTCGTATCGTTCACGAGACTTAGCGGGTAGCAACTCATTTTTAGCCATTCTATAGCTTTTTCCAACATTTCTGGTGGTGTAGAAATAATCTGCTCATCGTCATCGCTTGACATCATTTTTTTAACTGAAATTGAGAAATATCAATAAAAAATAAATAATTTCAAAAAATATAACTTACCTGCTTTCGGTTTCAGTGGATAGCTGGATTGATTGATAAAAAGATAAGTATGTACCCACCTATAGCTACTAACTGACATCAACTGAAATTGTTTATTGGCAAGGTGACGATTTCGATACGGCACCTGGTGGGCAAATTTGAGCCAGTTTAGGACGTAATTCAAGGTCATGTTTGTTATCGTGTTCAGTGGGTTTCATATTTTATGAATACCATTCAACAAATTACGTTAATTTTCTCTTCTTTCGTCTCTTGAGTACAAGACATGAACTTTATATCAATTGCCTAATCAATTCTATATTATTTTATAAATTAGTATCAACAAATCTCTGATAATACGTGAAATCAACTGTGTTTGGTTGAACTAGTAGAAGGTTCCAATGGATAAATGTAGGACCTATAATATGTCCTCTAATATGAATTTCCTGCACTCAAGAAGTCTTTTCTGATAATGAAAAATCAGTTCAGTTGAATGGAAAAAATGGATTAACGTTGAGAATCCAATATGAGTTTGAAAACTGGATGTATGCAGCTCCAACAAAAACTTACTACCTTTCTTCAATTCATTGGTCCAATAATGATAACAATATAAGGTGAATTTGTGATTCATTGATATATTTATTACTGATGATTAACTCTTACTTGCAGTGCCTATCTGAGAGAGAACATGATTGAAATGATCAACAGTTCA